TCAAAAAATCAGCTGGGCATGGTAGCGCGCGCCTGTAATTCCGACTACTTGGAAGGCTGAGGTGGAAGGATCGCCAGAGCCCAGCAGGTCGAGGCTGCGGTGGCCGGGAGCGGCCCACTGCACTCCCAGTCTGGGCGACAGAGTGAGACTCCAAATCAAAAAAAAAAAAAAAAATCTATTTATGTGAAAATATGTATTATAACATATTGTTATGGGTAGGATGAACTTTTGTTTAAAATAGCATTCTTTATTGCATTCTCTTCCATTGCAGTCCCTTCCAAACAGGACCATTAACATTTTTTATAAAAAAGAGACATTGTATTTAAATGTTGCTCTGTAACAGGTTTTGACAAACTCTGATGCCATGGGTCATGCCTGTATTTGCAAATAAAGTTTTATTGAAGTACAACTGTACACATAATTTTTAGCTATGTGTAGGTATTACCTGGTCAAAAATTAACTTAATGAAAACTAAAAGAAGGACAACCAAGGTATCTGTATGTATATGTTGTGTTTTGGGGGGGATGGAATTTGAAAAATAAACAAACAAACTTGGCTATCAGTAGAACTGGTCATTGTACCCATCACCAGGAATTACATGGAAGCTTAAATATAGCCCATTAGGATAATTTTACTTCTTTTATTTTGGGGAAAATGCTGGAAATTTCCTAGGGTCTGGAAATTTAATATAGAAAGGAGGATATGTTTTTATGAGACTTTCCTTTTCAGAAATGGTGCCACTTTATGTCAGGTCTGAATTAAGTAGTTTTAGTAATTTTATCATAGTCTATTCAAGTTTATACACAAAGGAAAAATCCTTGTTAAAAATTGTAATAGTAATTTCTCAATTGAGTAATTATTATTGAACGCTGAATTTGTGCCAGAGACTATTTTGCTTCATTTTCTTCCGTGAAAGAACTTCCATTAGAGAAGCAATCAAGGCAGAGTTCCTGCCCTTAAGGAACTATATTTCTAGTGGATGAGATGGGCCGTGAGCAAATACATAATGTGAAATAGCATCTAACAGATAATATATCACAAAATTGAAAAATAGTTTTGTAGAAAAAGAAGACAAGTAGAAGGAGGTGGGTGATATTTTCAACAGAGCTAGAGGGAAGGCCTCTCTGTGGGGAGTTGTTTCAGTGACACTGGAGAAAATGCAGGAGTAGCCCACAGGAGTATCTGAGGGAAGACTTTCCAAGTGCAAGATACAGCAAGTGCAAAGGATCTGAAGCAGAGGGAAGCTTGGAGACAGCAAGAGGCAGCAAGAAGACGAGTGTGACTGGGAGCAGAGGGAAGAGAGGAAGAGGAGTAGAAGATGAGATAGCGTTGGACCAGGCGGGCTCTTCTAGGTCTCTGAGAACTTCTCCTTTTGTCTTTATGACGGGAAACCATTGGAAGGTTTTTAGCAGGACGGTATTGTGATTTATATTTTGGCAAGATTTTTCGGGCTACTTTTTGAAAAATGTTTTGTTTCAATAGCCTTAGGGGGGTATAAGTGGTTTTTGGTTCCATGGATGTTTCTGTGGTGATCAATAAGTCTAGGCTTTAAGTGTACTTGTCGCCACCACTAGTGCATATCGTTCTCCGCAGGTGGCTTTTCATTCCTCATCCCCTTCCCATCCTCATTCTCAGGGTTCATTATACTCAGTCTCCAGTGTCCATTATTCCACTCTATACGCCCTTGCATACCCATAGCTTAGCACTCACTTATAAGTGAGAACATGCAGTATTTGGTGTTCCATTCTTGCATTACTTCACTTAGGGTAATGGTCTCTAATTCCATCCAAGTTGCTGCAAAAGACATTATTTTGTTCTTTTTTATGGCCAGATGGTATTTCATTATATATATGTGCATACGCGCACACACCCTACATTTTCTTTATTTACTGATTAGTTGATGGGCATTTAGGTGGACTCCACATCTTTGCAATTGTGAATTGTGCTGTTGTAAACATGTGGGTGCAGGTATTGTCTTTGTATAACGACCGGAAGATAATGTAGAGAGACAAAGATGGTAGCAGGAGCTCATGTAGGAGGATATTACGTGAGTTCGGATGGAGCCTTGGATTAGGGTGGTAAAACTGGCAAAAGGTGTTAGGAGTTGTGGCAATGCTGGTTCTACCTAATCTTGGTTTGTTTTATTAAGTAAAGTTCTTAGGAAGACGTATTAGGAACACGCGTGTTGGAATTGATCTGGCTGAGAAATAAATATTTGGAATTTTGTTTGTTTTTCAGTATAGACTGGTTTTAGGCCATAGTTTAATGATTGGCAATGTGCTGCTAGTTTATATTTATATTTCAATATTTATACTGAAATGGGAAAAACTACAGGTGGGACAGATTTTGTAGGGGGTGGGAAATAGAGTACTATTATGGACATGTGAAGTGTGAAATGCCTGTTAGACATTCACAGGGTGGGATGGGGTGATGCCCCTGCAATTCTGAGTGGATGTTGGTTCTCCCTTATAGATTTGGATGCCGTTGGCATTTAAAGCCATGGGACTTGAAAATTATTAATGAGGAGAGTCAGAAGACTGTGTCCTGGAAGAGAATAGAAAGAATTCAGCAAATGAGACTGAGAAGTTACAGCCAGTGAGGTAGAAGAAAAACTGAGGTTGTGGTGTTTTAGAAGCCAGAGAAGACAGGAAGGGAATTATGAACAACTGTCAGCTGCTTCTTTTTCTTTTCTGTTTTTTTGAGTTGGAATCTCACTCTGTCGCCCAGGCTGTATTGCAGTGGCATGCTCATAGCTACTGCAACCTTGACCTCCTGGGCTCAGGTGATCTTTCCACTTCAGCCTTCCAAGTATCTGGAGCCTCAGGCACATGTCATTAAGCCCGGCTAATTTTTTGATTTATTGTAAAGATGAGGTTTCACCAAGTTGCCCAGGTTGGTCTCAAACCCATGGGCTCAGGCAATCTTCTCACCTTGGCATCCCAAGGTGCTGGGATTATACGTGTTAGCCACTGCACTTGGTCTTGTCAGCTGCTTCTGACAGGTGAGTAAGATCTTTGAGAATTGGAAAGGACTGTTGGATTTGGCAATATGGAGGTTGCTGGTGACTTTGGTAAGTGTGGGGTTTCTTTGATCCTTTAAGGAAAAAGATTGGTTATACCGGGTGCAAGAATGTGAGAAGAGTTGGCCTTAAAAAAGAGCTAATTACCATCCATCAATTACACCAGGAAGAAAGGCAGAGTACTCTTATACAGAAGCAGGTAGGCTCATAAATTTGGTAGTAGAAAAATGAACAGATTTTGTTCTTACTGCTTCTGTTACCTTAGTGAAAAGACTAAGGTTGTCAGCTGAGATAGAGAAGGGGTCATAGAGGTTTGAGAAGAAGGTGTGAAATGGTCTTTGGGAGAACCTGTGAGTGAAACAAAGTATTGCCAGACAGTGGTGAGGGTCCATCTGAGGTTTCTGGTTGTGTTTTTTCTTCTGCCATGTTTGACTAGAGACTTTGTTTCATTGATTCATAATACAGTGATCATAATTTTTCATATGATCGTTGTCTTTTTCATATATCACATCCTATTGTTTTAAGGGTTTTAAGGGCTCAAATAAGAAAGCATGTTTGTATATGCTTTTTTTTGGTTGTTTTATTTGTACATTAGGAGGGCTTATATTTATACACTAGTTCCTCCTTATTCATGGGGGGGTTTGTTCCAAGACCTCCAGTAGATGTCTGAAACTGTTGATAGTAGTACCAAACCTTGTGTATACTCTGTGTTTTGTGTGTGTACATACATAACTTATGGTAAAGTTTGATTTATAAATTAGACACAGTAAGAGATCAAAAACAATAGTTAGAACAATTATAGCAATATGCCAATATCACTACTCATGTACTTTAAGACCACTATTAAGTAAAATAAGGGCTGCTTAAACACAAGCACTTTTGTATCATGACAGTCAATCTGATTACTGAGATAACTACTGGGTGACTAATGGGTGGGTCTTGTATATAGGTGGGTGTGCTGGAAAAAAGGATGGTTCAGATCCCAGAGGAGTGTGTGGCATGAGAGTTCATCATGCTACTCAGAATGATTCTCTGTGTAAAACTTATGAATCACTTATTTCTGAAATTTTCCATGTAGTCTTTTTAAACCATAGTTGACTGCAGGTAACTGAAACCACAGGAAGCAAAGCCACGGTAAAAGGGGACTACAGCATTGTGTAGGATTGTTTATTTAATATTAGCTGATTTGGCAATAATTGCATCCTTATTTATCAGTTTCTCTAAATATTTTACATTTTGATTTAAAAAAATTCAAATTTACTATGCTAGCACATTATAGAAGCTAGAATACTATTAAAATTTATCAGTGATATTTGCCCCTTTGAGAATTCCATTCTCAGGTTGGCATAGTGCCTCAAACCTCACACCTGAAATCCTAGCACTTTGGGAGACCACAGTCAGAAGATTGCTTGAGCCCAGGAATCTGAGACCATCCTAGGTAGTGAGACCTCATCTCTACAGAAAATTAAAAAATTAGCTGGGTGTGATGGT